TTGTTTTTTTTTTTTTTTTTTGCCTTAGGGCACGTGCATTTGCCAGAAAGAGGAGACAGTGAGAGAGAGGAAAAGTGAGAAATCACCCAGGAGGGATGGCCACGCCACAGTCTCTCCTCCATTCCCCTCCTGGATCTTGGGCATGCACACACACGTACCTGGTGTGATTTTCAAGCCACCCAGTCCAGGACTTGAACCACAGTCAGCCATGTGGGAGTCCACTGTTATAACCATTATGCCATCTGCTGGTCCCAAATAATTGTTTTTAATTATAAGTATTATTTTTTTAAGACAGCATTGACATTTTCCTTAATTTAATTGATTTATTGTTATTCTTCAATTTGACCAGAGAGAGAGAGAGACAGAGAAAGGGGGAATGAGAAAGCAAGCCTCCAGGTCCAGGACTCAAACCTCGGTCGACCATGTGGGAGTCCAGCACCTTAACCACCACACCACCTGCTGGCCCTCCAATAAAATGCTTTAAAATAGAAATGTTGGAGGAGTGATGGAGCAGCCCCTGCTTCCCCCTAGCTGGAGCTCATGTAGGAGTCTCTGATGAGAGGCGTCTCGCCGTCTTGGTTATTTAAGAGAGTCGGCATTGGGAATCCGCAGAGTCCACGGAGGGCGGGCTCTTTCACGTCTCTTTTTGCTGTCCCAATTTGCAATCCCAAGCTCACTCCGGTTTTCAGGTTTTCACGTCTGCAAGAAGAGACTTAGATCGTTTATCTTCTTGCGGGAAGGGTGCGTTTGGCATCTGACATGCATCCGCATAATCTCTGGGCTCTCTCCACTCTGCCAGGCTCCGAACGTCAGCCAGCAGGATCCAGTGTGGCTTTGCAGCTCGGTGTAAAAATACTATTAGATTGGGGGAACCAGCAGTTAGCGTAATGGCTATGTCGCTGGACTCCCACGTAGTCGACCGCGGTTCACGTCCTGGACCCGGTGGCTTAAAACTCACGCCGGGCGCGTGTGCGTGCGTGCCCAAGATCCCGAGAGGAGAATGGAGGAGAAGGGATTGCGGCGTGACCATCCCCCCTGGGGGGTGATTTCTCGCTTTCTGTCTCTATGTCTCTCTCTGTCTGTCTGGCGAGCGCACGCGCCCTACAGTGAAAATCTCTCCAAAAAAAAAAAAAAAAAAATACTATTAGATTGGAATCGCTTCCCCAGTGCTAAGACTGGCCATGTCTTTCCTCAAGAGAAAAGCCGGGAGTGTGTGTGTGTGTGTGGGGGGGCCCTGTAAAATGACTGACACGTCTTCCCGGAAGCTGGAGGCATGACTCACGGTGGCCTGGAGAGTGACTTCTGCTGCGTAGCGCTCGCCCCGCGTCACAAGGGCTGCAGGAACGCTCGGGCTGCTCTGAAGTCAGAGCGTCGGTCACGAGTGTAGGATGACCTAGGATCCTGGCTGTCTGGAGCCAGAGGTCCGGCCGGCTGCTCTCCGAGGTGTGCAGGCTCCACCCCTTCCTGGATAACGGAGTCATACAGGAGCTCGTCTGTGTTACGGCAGCTGCTGCAACGTTGCAGTCCTCCTCCTGGCCCTTACGGTGTTCCTCCTCTCTATTGCAGGTCCCCATTTTGCAGCTGTCAACAGCAATAACGAGATCATTGTCACAGATTTCCATAATCATTCTGTCAAGGTACTCTAAGCATATTGATCGTTGTTACCGTTTAAATGCTTTTCTGGAGAGACGGGTCTGGGAGGAAACGTCCTCACACCTGCACCTCACGCCTGCACGTAAGAGTAGGTTTTGCTTCTGCTTAAAAATGCAGGTTTGAGGCCAGCAGGTCATGGTGGTTAAGGTGCTGACCTCCACATGGCCAACTACGGTTCAAGTCCTGGACCTGGTCGATTAAAAATCATGCTGGGCACAGGTGAACGCATGCCCAAAATCCCAGGAGGAGCGTGAAGGAGAAGGGATTGCAGCATGGCCACCCCCCTGGGGGGTGATTTCTCACCTTCCTCTCTGTCTCTTCTCCAACTCTTGCTCTCTATGGCAAAAACCTTTAAAAAAAAAAAGATGCCGGCTTTAATTTAGACATACAGACTTCGGGGAGTCAGGGAGTTGAACAAAAATACGGTGGTAATAAGTTTTTAAATTTGAAACTAACGTACCTAAGGATGACTTGAAAATTGAATTTAAGAAAGCAATTGCTTGGGACCAGCAGTTAGCGTAATGGCTGTGTCGCTGGACTCCCATGTAGTCGACCGTGGTTCAAGTCCCGAACCTGTGGCTTAAAACTCACGCCAGGCGTGTGTCCGTGCGTGCCCAAAATCCCGAGAGGAGAATGGAGGAGAAGGGATTGCAGCATGGCCATCCCCCCGGGGGGTGATTTTCCGCTTTCTGTCTCTCTGTCTCTCTCTTTCTTTCTGGTGAGCGCACACGCCCTATTTGGGGGGCCCGCACCCCCTATATTGAAAACCCCTCCAAAAAAAAAAAAAAAAGAAAGAAAGAAAGCAGTTGCTTGGAGGCCAACAGGTGGTATGGTGGTTAAGGTACTAGACTCCCTCATGGCCGACTGTGGTTCGAGTCCTGGACCTAGTGGCTTGCTTTCTCACATTGTCTCTTTTTCTCTCTCCTCCTCTTCTCTCTCTCTCTGTCACTATCTGGTGAGTGTGCATATCCTATAGCAAGTTAAAACATAATAATAACTAAAATTAAATAATTCTTTTTTAAAAAGTGCTTGCTTGAACTTAGAGGCCGAACTTTCTGAAACTTGGTGTTTTGTGTCTATGGTGGATTGAAATAAAATTGTTTTTCAACTTGTGCATCATAAAGCTTTTTTTAAGAATTATTTTATTTAACTTTATTTATTTTAATTTGACCAGAGAGTGACAGAGTGAGAGAGAGAGAGGGAGAGGGAGGTCTGGGACTGGAACCGCCGTCAGCCATGTGAGAGTCCAGCGCCCCTAACTACCACACCACCTGCTGGCCCCGCGTCATAAGGCTTTTAAAACAAAATGAGATACCAGGACTCTGCTACGCGACAGTCTTGGGGGGCAGGAACAGCCTCACATACTCCATCAGGCGCCGCTCACAGGCCACCCCCACACCACTGTCGTGGAGGACGCAGGGGTCTCTTCTCGTGAGGCAGCACGTCTTCCTCCCTAGGGACAGGGCAGAGGGTGAGCTTCACTGCAGGAACTCGGGAAATGCGAAAAGTGGTTCAAAACACATTTCTCACTTTTTAAAAACGTTTGTTAAGAGGGTGTGTGCACTAGCTGGAGAGAGACAGAGACAGAGAGAGGGAAAGTGAGAACTCACCCCTCGTGGGGAATGGCCATGCTGCAGTCCCTTCTCCACTCTCCTCTGGGGATTCTGGGCACATCCAAGCCATCCGAGTTCTAGTTCTGGATCTGGGACTCGAACCACGCGGTTGGCCGTGTGTGTGATCCGGCCACCTGAGCCACCCTGCCACCTGGCCGGCCCTCAGGACACAGTTCCGTCCACTGCAGCGGTCAGGAAATGGTCATGTCCTAGACCCAGCTGCCGCGTGTCCCGGGTTGGCAGGTGGCCCCGGCGGCTCACTGGCCGACGTCTTCAGAGATCCTCATTATTTCTGGAGTCCCCCTCTGTTTACGTAAGTGATACTGTTTTTGCACTTACAGAAATAACAAAATCTTCCCCATAAACTCTTTCATATTGTCAAGAGTGTGTCAGTTTAAAGTAAAATGTTAAGAAACAGCGTAGGGTGAGGGGCCAGAGACTGCAGCTGCACTTGGAGATCACCTCTGAGCGGCCAGAGGTGTGACGGCGACCAGGGCTAACCGGTTATCGGTGCATCGCTCCTAGCGGAGAAGACCTAAGTCCGGGATAGGAGCTTGTTTTTCATTTTTATTTGCCGTAGGGCACATTCCTCACCGGAGAGAAACAGAGAGAAGGAAGGTGAGAAATCACCCCCCAAGAGGGATGGCCACACCGCAGTGCCTTCTCCTCCATTCTCTTCCTCGGATTTCGGGCACGCACACGCAGGTGCCTGGCATGATTTTCAAGCTATCAGGTCCAGGACTCAAACCACAGCAGGCCATGTAGAAGTCCCTCACCTTAACCACTATGCATCCCACTGGTCCTGAAGGATAGGGGTTTTGTTTTGTTTTGTTTTGTTTTGAAGAGGTTTTTGCCATAGGGCGCGTGTGCTCGCCAGACAGAGACAGAGGGAGACAGAGAGACAGAAAGCGAGAAATCACCCCCCAGGGGGGATGGCCACGCCGCCATCCCTTCTCCTCCATTCTCCTCTCGAGATCTTGGGCACTCACACACGCGCCCAGCGTAAGTTTAAGCCACTGGATCCGGGACTTGAACCCTGGTCGACTACATGGGAGTCCAGAGACACAGCCATTACACCAACTGCTGGCCCCTGAGGAGTAGGATGTTTGGTACTCTCTCTCCGGCATCTTTTTCACAGCTCAGTTCCCTGCAAAGCGCCTTCCACCTTAGTAAGTGGGAAGGCCTCGAGTCCTGTGTGAGGGTGGGGCACAGCGGGCTGTGAGCGGGCAGCATGGCGGCCAGCTTGCCCTCTGGGGCTTTTTTCTGCAGCTGCTTCCTGCAGTGGGGTCTCTCCCGAGCTGCGAGCATCATGATAGAGCCCTCCCCACCCCCAGCCAGGGCCACCAAGAAGCTGCTTCCTCTATGGGCATTGGTGTCTGTGAGAGGCTCTTAATACGAGGGAGAGGACAGTGGGAGGAGTCCATCCGATGGGCAGAGGAAGCGGGAACCCGGGGGAGGAGAGGCCGCAGGAGCTGGGCTGTGACCGTCCTCCCAGGGGCTGTGACCGTCCTCCCAGGGGCTGTGACGTCCTGTGGAAGGAGTCTAACCAGAAAAGGAGGACGCAGATGTTCAGGCGTCTGCCCGCCCTTCACTCAGCGTCTGCGACTCAAGAAGTTCGTGGAAAGTCGAGTTAAAGTAGAACATTGAAATTCGTGCATAACTTTTTCATAATGCATTGCTTGCTTGCTTTTTTTCCTTTCTTTTTTCTTTTTGAGATTTTTGCCATAGGGCATGTGTACTTGCCAGAGAGAGACAAAGACGGTGAGAGGGAGAGTGAGAAATCTCCCTGGGGATGGCCGTGCCATCTGGGGTTTGGGACACGCGCACACACACATACTCAGCATGATTTTCGAGCCACTGAGTCTGGGACTCGAACTGCAGTGGGCCATGTTGGAATCCAGCGCCTTCACTACCATGCCACCTGCTGGCCCCCAGTTAAATATTTGTAAAGGCAGCGTGCTGACTCAGCTGTTTCAACGTAAAGTCACGGTTACACCTCCACACAGGTGTTCAACCAGGAGGGCGAGTTCATGCTGAAGTTCGGCTCGAACGGGGAAGGCAACGGGCAGTTCAACGCGCCCACCGGCGTGGCCGTGGACTCCAACGGGAACATCATCGTGGCCGACTGGGGCAACAGCCGGATCCAGGTGGGTGACGGCGTCCCTCTACGTGTCTGCAGTGCTCGGTGTTCGTGGGGGTAAGAATCAAAGCCAGCCGGCGGCGGGTAGTGAAGGGGGCCGGGGGCCAGGGGCCGGGTCCTGGGTGGCTGACTGCATGACTGAGTCCTCGACCCAGCAGCTGGAGAAACACACCTGGCCCATGTGCGTGTGTGTTCAAAATCCTGAGGAGGGGACCAGCAGTTGGCGTAATGGCTATGTCGCTGGACTCCCACGTAGTCAACCGCGGTTCAAGTCCCGGACCCGGTGGCTTAAACTCACTCTGGGCGCGTGTGTGTGCGTGTCCTAGATCCCGAGAGGAGAATGGAGGAGAAAGGATTGCGGCGTGGCCATCCTCCCTGGAGGGTGATTTCTCGCTTTCTGTCTCTCTCTCTATGTCTGTCTGGCAAGTGCTAGCACCCTATAGCAAAAAAAAAAAAAAAAAAAAACCCTCCCCCCCCCCAAAAAAAAAAATATTTTTTATTATTAGTCTCTTTCTCTTTTTTCCCCAAGTATTTTATTTCCCAGATTAAATAGATTTAGTTCTTTTAATAATTCCTCTTAAGGCATGCTTTTCCAGATCTTTACTATTCTTTTTAGGAAGATGATAAAGCATATTAGTCTTTTAAGAAAAAATGAAGAATCAGCTGCCCCCAAACAAATGATTTTATTCTCTACAGGTGAGGTCATAGCACCATGGGGAATCTCACCAAGAGAACCAAACTCAATAAGGTAGAGTTAGGAGAAAAGGCAACATTATCAGGGCGAAGCCCTCTAGGCCAAAGATTTTTAACTTGAATCCAATAGACACCCCCCACACAGAAGTTTTGTGAATAGAATGAAAGACATCTGTTAAACAATATTACACACATTAAATATATATGTGTGTGTGTGTATATATATATACATATATATAGTATTAACATTAACATCAAGGATTTTCTTTTCTTTTCTAGAGGGATTTTTGCTATAGGGAGCATGCACTCTCCAGAGAGACAGAAAGCTAGAAATCACCCACTGGGGGATGGACACACTGCAATCCCCTTTTTTGTTCTCCTCTCTGTATATTTGGGCACCCACACGTGTGAATTTTAAGCTGCCCGGTCCAGGACTCGAACTGAACCGCAGCCAACCATGTGGGAGTCCAGCAATGTAACCATTACGCCATCTGCTGGTCCCAGCATCAAGGACTTTCTAACTTCAATACCATTACAATTTTTTACAGGTGTTCGATGGGAGTGGATCGTTTCTGTCCTACATTAACACATCTGCTGACCCGCTCTATGGTCCCCAAGGCCTGGCCCTGACTTCAGACGGCCACGTGGTGGTCGCGGACTCCGGGAATCACTGTTTCAAGGTCTATCGGTACTTGCAGTAACAGCGTGGCGTCGGGCGCCCCCTTGCGGAGGTCTTGCGCTGCAAACTGGAATGGATTAGACGACGCAGGGCCAGGTTCCCGCCAGACTTCTCGTCACTGGTGAACTTTCCACGGTTATTTCTGAATGTAACAACTTCCTTACGAACTGCGTATCCAATTTCTGTAATTTGTCTTTAGGGTTTAAAAAAGTTCTCTTCTACGGAATCTCGAAGAACTGCGACGTTTTACACCTGTGGACTATGGCTTAGCGACAGGGATGTATGTAGGTAAACTAATTTTGCAACTCAAACTAAAAAACCAGGACTATGTAAAGGTATTTGTTTACCCCGTGGATGGTGGCTTTTGCACAGAGCTTCCAAAAAAAAAAAAAAAAAAAAAAAAAGAATGAAAGCTTGGGGCATTGTGAGGAGAGCATGTATAAGCCAAGGGAGCCTGTACAAGGGTCCTGAGGCAGAAATCAGCAGGTGACCCTGAAGGAAGTACAGCTGGGGTTCCAAGAGCAGGGATGATGTTAGATGAGCCAATGGCTTGCCGAGGCCTGATTCTTTCCCACTTGCCACCCAACATCTTCTTCTAGGAGTTCTTTTTCTTCTTTCCTTCCTTCCTTTCTTTCTTTTTAAAGAATTATTTATTTAATTTTATTTATTACTATTATGTTTCAATTTGACCAGAGAGAGAGAGAGAGAGAGAGAGAGAGAAAAGTGAGAAAACAAACCCACAGCTCTAGGATTT